ATTTAATATTTATCTGAATTACTGATGTATGAACTCTTTAGCTCAATATCCTACTTTTATAAATTTATCCTAGAGAAATATTTGCACTGTATAAAATGACGTATGTATAGAGTTATTAATTGTAGCATTGTTTATAATAGCAAAAGACTGGAAACAATCCATCATAAGGACTGATAAATAAATGAGACCACGATAGTGGAATACCATGCAGCTATAAAAAGTCATACGGAAGCTCTCTATACACTAATAGAAGAATATCTCCAAGGTATATATTTTAATTACTTTTTAAAACAAATTATTTATTTTAGAATAGTTTTATATTTATGGAAAAATTGTGAAGATAGTACGGAGAACTTCTGTATACCCCACACCCAATTTCCCCTATACTTAACATCTTACCTCAGTACAGTATATTTGTTACAATTAAGGAACCAGTATTGACAAGTTAGTGTTAACTAAAACCCATACTTTATTCAGATTTCCTTAGTTTTTACCTAATATCCCTTTCCTATGCCAGGATCCCTAGTTCCTCTTGGCTGTGACAGTTTCTCAGACTTTCCTTGTTTCTGATGACTTTGACAGGTTCGGGGAGTGCTAGTCAGGCGTCTTGTAAAATGTTCCTCTAATGGGATTTGTCTGATGGTTTTCTTACCATTAGACTGGTGTTTTGGGTTTTGGGGGAAGGAAACCACAGAAGTGAAATGCCCTTCTTATCATGTCGTGTCAAGGATATGTTCTATCAAAGTGACTCCTTACTGTTGATGTTGATCTTGATCACCTGCCTGAAGTAATGTTTATCGTGTTTCTCTACATAAAGTTACTCTTTTCTCCCCCATTCCATACATCTTCTCTGGAAGAAAGTCACTATGCGCAGCCCACACTTAAGGGGTGGAAAATTATGCTTCACCTTTGACCTACTCTCCTTAATGTGTTTTTTGTTTTTGCTATTTTTTTGAGCATTTCTTTACTTTCTGGCATTACAAGATGCTCCAGGCTCACCTTGTATATTTCCCGCCCTGGTCCTAGAATCAGCCTTTTCTCCAAAGAGCCCTGGGTCTAGCAATTGGAGAATGGTATTAGAAGCCAAGTATTGGGTATTAGGTTTGCTGGTTGCTACTGGAATGTTCTTGCTTTTGGGTCCTCTCAGCTGACAGAGGGAGGAAAGGCATGTGTCTATACTAACCCTTATATATACATAGATCTACCAATATATTTTATATAATCATCTGTATCTACATTAAGCTAAATGTGAATTCATATTGAAATCTCCAAATCTAATCTGTCACCACATGGCTCATTATAGCCTCTTCTCCTTGCTTATCTGTAATCTTCCCAAGATACACATATTTTTAAGTGAAAAAAGGAGAGTGCAGACCGAATGTGTATAATATGCTACCTTTTGTGCAAAGAGGGTGGAGAAGTAAGAATAGATATCTGTACTTGCATAGAGAAATTCTAGAAATATGTATAAGAATCTACTAAGAGAACTGAAAACACACATTTATACAAAAACTTGCATACAAGTGTTCACAGCAGCATTATTCATAATAGTGGTGGTGATGGTTGTACAACAGTGTGAATATACTTAATGCCAATGAACCGTACACTTAAGAATGGTTAAGGGCTGGCCCCGTGGCTGCCTGGTTGTATGCACACTCTGCTTCCGTGGCCCAGGGTTTCACCAGTTCGGATCCTGGCACCACTCATTAGGCCATGCTGAGTGGCATCCCACATGGCACAACTAGAAGGACCTACAACTAGAATATGCAACTATGTACTGGGGGGATTTGGGGAGAAGAAGCAGAAAAAAAAAAAAAAGAAGATTGGCAACAGTTGTTAGCTCAGGTGCCAACCTTAAAAAAAAAGAATGGTTCAGATGGTAAATTTTATAGTCTATTAAAAAACACCATTTTTTTAAATGTAAAAAAAAAAAGCTATTGCATTCATTGTGCTTTATTATTTTCCAGTCAGCTGTTTTCAGGCTCTTAGAGCTGTTGCTGTGTGGTATCTAGGCCATTGCTTTTAACTGTTGCATGATATTCCACGGTATTTCTAGCATGTTTTATGGATTTTCTAAATTGAGATATAGTTGATGTATAACATTATATTAGCTTTAGGTGTACAACATAATGATTCGATATTTGTATGTATTGTGAAATGATCACCACAATAAGTTTAGTTATCCATCGCTATACATAATTACAAAATGTTTTTTCTTGTGGTGAGAACTTTTAAAATCCACACTTCTGGCAATTTTCAAATATACAATATAGTATATTCAAAAAAGTTTTTTTTTCTGGGCCGTCAATGCGGAGTGCATGAACCCAACCACTCGGCCACGAGGCTGGCCCCTCAATATGGATTATTAACTACAGTCACTCTGCTGTACATTACATCCCCAGGACTTATTTATCTTATAAATGGAAGTTTGTACCTTTTGACCCCCTTGGCCCATTTTTCCCATCTCCCCCCAACTCAAGCAACCACCAATCTGTCCTCCATGTCTATGAGTTCAGTGTTTTTAAAAATGTTCTATGTGTAAGTGAGATCATATAGTATTTGTCTTTCTCTGTCTGACTTGTTTCACTTAGCGTAATGCCCTCAAAGTCCGTCACTGGTGTTGCAAATGGCAAGATTTCTAGCACATTTTAGACCCCACCTTCCCAGACACCAGGAGACGAAGCTGCGGAGGTATCCTGAGGGACGGGAGAAATTGGACTGGGGCTGTTCCTCTGATGTTGCCCCGTCTTTGCAGTAAAATTGGAGGCTGTGGAGAGGCCCCTGGAGAAAACCAGGGCAGCAGCTGTGGAGAATGGCAGTTAGTCATCAAGAGATGAAATCTAGACTGCCACGTGGCTTCAACTGAGGTCACCCAGCATGAGAGCAGGATGCAGGTAGCGAGCGTGGCTTAGTGCCCTTCGCCACCCAGTGCTATGAACAGAGGAAGCTACCCGCCCTGAGGACCAGAAGAGAAGAGCAGAAAGTGGGGTTACAGACCTTTGGGAGATAGCAAGGACATAGTGGGAATGGCCTCCCAGGGGATTAGGCTGGGCACGGAGGCAGCTGAAGCTGAACTGGGATCGAGTCAGAAGGGGCTGGTAAAATGGTGAGGGGTGGAATGAGCAGAGACCAGACTTGGTGGGCATGAGGAGGGAGCAGCCAGGCCTGGGTGTAGCTGGGGTGCACTTCTGTTTAGATTTTGGATGTGGAGGAATGTGATGTATGCCTGTTTGCATACGTATTGCATGCATGTATTAATTTGATATATTTATTAAATGTAGGTTAATTCATCTCACTTCTCAAATACAGGGCAGCCATGTGGTAAAGCTCTGGAGGGCCCCTCATGTCATAATCTGGGTGAATGATGCTCCCTTTAGTTGTTCAGCACACAAACTGTGCACGGGCTCTGCTGGCATCTGAGTGTGATGATGACGACTTTACCATCTACAGAGTGCTTACTGCGTGCCTAGCCCCCAGCTCGGGGCTTCACCTTCATCATCTCAGGTGTCCACACAACCTCTGAGATAGGCGCTGTCACCCCTGATCGACAGGTGAGAAAAAGGGAGACTGTTAGAGAAGTGAAATGACTTGTCCAAGGTCACCCAGCCAGAAGTTGGCAGCGCCCTGTGCTAGGGCAAGGAACAAGGGGTCGGGTCGGCATCTTCCTGGGCTCCCCAGGACCCCTCAAAAGCTCCAAGGGCCTGCTAGTTCTTGGGCCTCCTCGAACAATCCCTGTCTCACTCCCAGGGACCTTTGCTGCTTAGAGAGCATCTCTGTGGAGGAATGGTGGTGGGAGGTAGTGGTGGAGGAATCCGTCTTTAAGGGGCTCCTTCGGAGAGGGTGGCCTTCTCTCTCAAAGACTGCGGAGGGAGAGGAAGGGAGAAGGGGGTGGCAGGGCCGGAAATGATTCCTCAGGAGGCCACGGGGGTGGCAATGGGGGGAGCCGGTAGCTGCCTGGGTTGTGTCTTTGAACTCACAGAGGAGGCAGCGGGCAGGGCTGTTGCAGAGGATCAGTCACAGATCAAGGAAGATGGGACTCCCAGTCCCCTACTAAGCATAATGGGCAGGGTGGGGGGCAGTTTCGTGCCAAGAGAAGGAAGCCTCTGCGCATGACTGTGGGAGGAAGCCTGAAGCTAGCCGCCCTGGGAAGCTCAAGTGTACACAGACACAGGAAGGACTTAAGTTCATTCGGAGTTGACAAGTCCTTAATCTAAGTGGATTGGGAGGCTATCTCTATCCGAGAGGCTGGAATGCTCGCAGGCACAGGCGCCAGGGTCCGGGCCAGAGAGACCGGAGGGGGAAGCCATGGAGAGATCTGGAAGGACAGAAGTGCAGTTGAGGGGCTGCTGTAGGAGGCTGGGGCCTGGGAGGAGGGGGTGGCTGGGGCAGAGACTCCGAGGCGAGGAACTGGTGGACCAAGTATCCCTCGGTCCTTCCTGTGAGGGCCATGGTTGGCAGGCAGCGATTTTCTAACAATAATAGTGATCAGAATCTGAATGCCTTTAAGGCAGGAATGAACTTACCTGTTGCCACAGTCGTCACCCCTCCCAGCCTCATACCCAGGCGGGTCAGTTCTTTTCTATGACCTGCTGGCTCCTGCGGCTGTTGGATTTTTGACCTTTGAGACAGCTGCAACGCCACCTTTGGGGCCCCCAGTTTGAGGGCTGAGATGAGAGAGGAGGCTCAGGCCCCATGCCATGGGCCCCAACTTGGCCCAGCTCCAGCAGTGGGCTTGGCTGGCTCCGGCTCAGCCGTCCCCTCGGATGCTGCTCCACGGTGCCGGGCTCTGGATGGTTCTCAGAGAGGGACTGTTGTGCATTTAGCATCCCTGGCACTGTGGCCTGTAAGTGCCAACTGTGCCCTCTAGTTTTTGTAACATTTCTAAATGCTCCCTGGAGGTGGTATCACCCTGAGAGCTACGGGGGCCCCTCTTTGGTGCTGGAGAAGTGACTTCCACCCCCACCAGTCTTTTCCTGGTGTAAAGACACAGAGAGACAGAAGCCAGTGGCATGTGCTGTTTATTATAATAATGCCCCCGAGTGAGGGAGGAAAGAGAGAGGCCGGGCCAGGAGGGGTGGTCAGCAGGCAGGTGTGAGCAGGACAGGAAGCATGGAGAGCCTCCCAGCCAGGGAACACTGGGAAAGGGTCACTTAATCTTTAGGAAAATATACTCAGAGCGGGAGAGAGATTGTAGGGTAAGTTCAGCCACCAGAAGCCTGGCTGGGAAAAGAAACACTTTGAGCTGAGGAGGTGGGCGTAGAGGTCTCATTACTAGGGTAGGCATGGCGTCCGGGCCCAGGTGCCACTACCTGGAGCCCATTCCACCAGCAGACATGGCAGAGCTGAAGGCAGCAAGGAGTACCCGCCCCCGGGCCAGACCCTCTGCGGGCCGGTGGTGGCCGTGGGGAACCAGGCTCCTGCGGCTCCTCTATCCCCACATGGTTATCTGCAGCCACTGTGGGGAGAGAAGCAGCAGGTCCAAGGATGGGAGAGGTGGGGGTGGGCAGGGTGCCTAGGGAGAGTGGAGGGCAGAAGGCGGTGGAAGGTGGTGGGGGTGGGGGGCGGTGCTGCCAGAAGATGCCTTCCACGCACCTCATTCAGGTTCAAGTGAATATAACCAGTATTTCTGGGGTCCATGGTTAGAAAGTACCCTGTTTGGGGGAGGAGGCAAGGGGAGAGGGGTTGAGAGCTGAGTCGGTGGTCTGAAAGACCCACTGCCAATGAGGGGGAGGTCAGAGAGGGTGTAAGAAGCTGCTCCCCAGCTAACCCCCGGCCCCGCAGGGAATTAATGATAGCAACTCCTACGACCTTGCTGTGAGCCAGGCCCAGTCCCGAGTACTCACCAGATACTAACTCATTTCATCTGTACCTCAATCCTATGAGGGCAGTGCCCTTATCCACATTTTATAGATGAGGGAACGGAGGCACAGAGAGACCAAGTGACTTGCTCAAGGCACAGAACCAGCCAGTGGTGGAGCTGGGGTTTCAACCCAGATCGTCTGTGCCCTATACACAGGAGTGGTTCTGGAGCAGCACCCCTCATATGGGTGTGTGGGGGAGGGCCAGTGGTCCCCGGCCTAGGGTGAGGAGTGGGCAGATGCCTGACTTACTAAACATGGCCTTCAGCTTCAGGAAACAGTAGATGAAGCTGTCAAAATCCACCATCATGTTCTTATTTGCATACCTGGCCACCAGCACCTGCATCACCTTGTTATTTAGCTTGATGCCTGGGAGAGAGAGCAGTGCGGAGGGGAAAGAGCCCGGTCCTCTGGCCAGTGCCTTCTCCCTCCCTGCCCCCAAACCATCTCCTGACCCCTGGCCACCTGCTTTCTCAATGGCCAAGCGCATCTCATAGGAGTTCAAGGCGCCTGAATTGTCCTCGTCACACTCACGGAAGATGTCCTGAGGGGACAGACAGATGTGGTAGGGCCGTGTGCAGGGCATGGTGGTTGAAATGATGAAATCCTTCAGTACGGTTGCCTCACAGCTGCGGCCCAAGACCCCAGGGCTCCCTACCCTGGCCCACACGCTGAGCTCCCAGTATTCCTGCCATCTAGGGGCCGTAGGGTTCATTCCAGGCCTAGTAGGGTGCCTCTGGCACCCTGCCCAGGCTCTCCCGAATGCATCCTTTATGACGGCTGGAACCTGGACTATCCTGGTTATTAAATATTTTGACTAACTAAAACACCAACGCTTCAACAGATGCTGTCGTGTTGTGTGTATGCACACGTGTGTGCGTGCCCGTGTGTGTGTGTGTCTAGTCAGGTGCTCCAGTTCTACCTTCCTCCTTACTAGTCCCCATCCCTCTTACATTAATTTTCAAATTTTACTTAGTTAATTAATTCATTAAGTTGAGGTGGAATTGACATGCAACATCATGTTAGTCTCAGGTGTACAGTGTAATGATTTGATGCTTGTAAATATTCCATCCCTCTTGAGGACCTCTGTTTTTCACCCCCATAAACTACCCCCTTCAATGCCAGTTACCGTCCATTTCTTGATTTTTTTCCACAGGATCTGGAACTCCAGAAACCCCAGCTTGCCAGAGTCATCTTTCTGGGTGGTGGTCAAGGATATCAGAGGGGGGAGTGAAGAGGTCATCTTGGGGTCAGGGAAGCAGACGGCTCACCGAGGGGGGCCCAAGACCAGGGAATCTGAATGGTAACTGTGGTAAGAGCCAGAAGCACTAGCATCTTCTGCTCGCCCGAAGCCTCATCCGCATGAGGATGGAGGGCATGGCTGGCCAGAGAGGTGGTCCCCTCAGGGCCAGGCTTGGGGGTAAGGGGGACAGAGGATGGGGAGCACTGGACAGGACCACCAGTGGGCAGGAAGAAGATACATCCATGAGGTTGACCATACAGCGGCACACGTCCAGGCCGAAGCCCTGGGTCTTGAAGTGTGTGACTGTGAGGGAGGGAGGGGCAGGAAGAAGAGACTGGTGATCAGGGTGGTGTGGGGGACTCAGGGAGAGGTCAAGGTGAGGCACGAACTGTGGGGGGAGGGGGTTGTGGGTGGTGGAGGTGACAGACTCACATTTGGAGACCACCTTGTTGAGCAGCTTTTGTAGCCCGTACATGCCTATCTCCTTGCCCTAGGAAGGAGGTCCGTAAACCCCTGCTCTGGCCTCTTCAGCCCCCAGCCACCTCCTTGCAGCCCCCAGCCCTCAGCCCCTCACCTCTCCTCCAGCCACTGTCTCAAACAGACGTGTGAAGTCCTGGTTTACTTTGTCCTCAGAGATGTTTTCCTGGAGGGAAAGGAGTGGGAAATGGACCCAGTCCAGAAAGATCCTTCACAGCCCAGATGCTTCCTCCGGTCCTCCAACCCCACAGGCTTCCCTCACCTCTTGGAGCATCTCAGCATAGTTGGCTTCATCCAGTTCCCTGAGCAAAAGTGGATGAAGGCTCAGGTTATTGGGGGTCAGAGAGACCCGGATTTCAGTGGGGTGGTCGTGGGGAGGTCTTGTTGTCTGAAGCAATATATGAAACAGACCTCATGGGACCTGGGTTCTGGCTCTGCTACTAATTGGCACTTCCCCTCCTCATGCCTCAGTTTCCCTGACTGTAAAATAGGATCATAGTGGGGGGAGGACCCGATGACTGCTCCCTGAGCTTGACGTCCTACAGCTCTTGGACGGGTGGCCTCGGAGAAGTGAGGTGGGGCCCCTCACCAGGACTCGCTATGCTTCTCTGTGAAGACCCGAAGCAAGAAGTCAGCATCCTTGTGCGGCTCAAATGTGGAAGGAATGATGATATAGTCCCCTGGAGGCAGCCGGAGATGGCTGCTCACCTCCCGTGCGTTGGAGAAGATCTCTGAGAAGCCGTGGTCCTGATACTTCATGAAGAAGTCCTTCTTCAAGTGGATATCCTGGATGTTCTGAAACTATATGTGCCCCGGAGGTGGGTACAGGGCTGGCATGGCAGGGCAGGGAGAGAGGGACCCCCAAGGGAAAGCCTGGCCGGGTAGGGCTGGAGGGGAAGTACCACCATTAACTGACTGGGCCTGGACACCACCCAACTGGCAGGTAAATCCAGTGTGGTCTCTTCCTTCCCTGACTCCCACCCAGGGCCCCAGGGGCTGGAATCCTAACCCAGTGGCCCACAGACCCCTTCACAGAATTCCACCCCTTGCCCATCCACATGCAGCCGGAGGTGGAGTGGGTGCCTGCCCAGGATCGAGCCCCACGTCATCTTCTGTACCTCCTTTGGGACCTGGGAAGGGAAGAGAGAGGAGGGTCAGATCCCAGGATGGTGAAGGGGCTCAGGCCTGCGGAAGCCAGGTGGGATGTGTGTGTGTGTGTGTGTGTGTGTTAGGGGCGTGTTAAAGGCACTGGGACATGGGTGGTGGGGTGGGATATGGGCTCTGATAGCTGAAAGTCCTAGTGTTAATGATCTCTCAGCTTTGGACAGCAAAGCACAGTTTACACAAAGTTTTGCCGTGCGAGATTTTTACCACCGCAGGACAGGAAACTGACTCCTTAAGAGGTGAGCCAATGTGCCCAACTGCACACTGCTGGAAAGTGAAAGCGCTGGGATGAAAATCTGGGAGAGCGGTTTCCTGAACACGAACATTTTCCACGGAACACTCACATCCTACAGGAAGCTACTAGGTGATTATTGAGATTGAGGGTTGAACCCAAGTTTATGAGAAGGTGAAGTAAACCAAGATAAATAGGTTGCTCTCCTGCAGGGTGGGGGTAGAGAATATAGCCTTTTCTGGAAGGGAAGGACTCGCATCTGACCTTGGAAATTTCTTGATGCGCGTCTGGCGTCTGCTAACCTGGTGGACTCCCAGCCCAGGAGGAGGGCAAGGCTTGTGTCTATTTTTGTTCTCTATTGAACCACTGGAGACTGGACTGGGGCCTGGCATACAGTAGGTGCTCATAAATACTTGCTGAATTTATAAGTGGGTGAACCGTTTCTAGGATTTTGCAAAGCACGGTTTGGGTACCACTTGTCAGGGAATCCCCTTGGCCACTGGAGTCAATGCTCTTGGTGGGGCATCTTGGGGGAGGCTCGGGGGCTTGTGAAGTCTCAGAGCGGCTGGGAATCAGGACACAGGCTCTGCAGCTGACCTTTGGATGTGTGACCTTGGGCAAGCGACCTCGCCTCTCTGGCTCTCAAGTTCCTTCCTTTTCATTAAAGGCGTTGCTATTTGTAAGGCCTTTGGAACAATGCCGAGCACAAAGGAAGTGCTGCTTAAGAGTTTTAGATGTAAAAATCTGTGAAAAGGAAAGCGCTGGCCCTGCCTCAAGAGCACAAGGCACCAGTCAAGAGAGCTAGGGCTGTGGCACCTGTTGGTGTGTCCCACTCCTGGGTGGGCAGTGGCCTTGGGGAGGAAGAGGCTTGAAGGGGTGAGGCCAGGAGGGGGAGCAGGAGTGGCTGGAGGACCAACTGGGGCGCCCACCGTGTAGATGACAAAGCCAATGGTCTGCAGCTGGGCTCCCTGGGGCCGTGCCTGCCTCCAGTTCTTCTGCATCAGGGCCACCAGGCAGGTGCAAACAACTTCATTGTTCTCTGGGTCGTCGTCCTCCTCGGGGAGAGAGATCTTAAACTGGGGGTTGGTCCAGAATGTGTCTGTGGAGGAAGCAGATCAGGATGGCTCTGCCCTTCCTGGGGTGGATGGGCTTGCCAGCCACACGCCTGCCTCCTCACCAGGGATCTGATGTGCCCCTGACCCCCGTGACCCTGGACCCTTAGGCCTGGTTGTGTGGTGAGTCAGGGGCCCATCACTCACACATTGCCCCCGCGAATCCCCTCACCCACCGAGGTAGTTCCTGCAGCCCCCCGCGGTGCTGCCCCTCCGCCAGCTGCCCTCGTAGAAGGTGGCGTGCCAACTGCTCTTGCAGTCCCCAGAGAGCGTGTCAGGCATCAGGTTGCAGATCTCCAGGAGTGTGAAGTTGTTCAGGAAATCTTGGTAGGACATCCTGTGGCAGAGGAGGGTTTGCTAGAGCCCATCAGCGGCATACCCACACCCATAGCGCCCCCTCCCCATCCAAGGCACATGCGCGTGGGTGGTGGAGGAGATGAGGGGACGGGGCATGGTGGGAGAAGAAGGAAGTCCACCCCAGGCCGCACTGACCAGAACTCCCCGTCCTCCTTCTTGTGTAGCAGCTGCTTCTGGATGTCTAGGTCCACCTCTTCCCACTCCCTGGCACTGGAGCAGAGACAGGCAGTGGAGGGGGCGGGGCAGGGTGCCAGGGGGCACCTCCATCCTCCGGAGGGATTCCCTACCCTTGATTGCCTGTCTGCTGGGGGTCCTGAGTGAGATGGAGAATCCAGAGCGGGGGAGCCTCGCCCTGGGCACAGGTTGTCCTCCCAGACGGGACGCCAGTTGGTCCCTCTGGGGCATGGCCTTGCTCTTGGGGCCTGCTGTGTGCTCTGCCCCTCACCCGAGGGTGCTGGTCAGGGGTACCTACTTGTCACTCCAGGATCCATTCCACTCAATCCGGCCCCAGGGATTCCGGACCCGAATCAATGTTTCCATCTTGCCTTGGTACAAGACCTAGGAGGGGAGCGGGAAAGGTCAGGGGCATAGCGGCAGGAGGAAGTTCTTTCTCAGACCCCTCTGGGGAGGATGCAGTTGTCAGACTCACGTCCTGAAGGCCAGTCACTGAGTAAGCATGTCCTCTCACCAGCATCTTCTGGGTCAAGGATTCCAAGTCGCTGTTGCTGGTGATCTGCACAACAGAGAGGAAGGAAGGAATTCAGGATCTGGTCAGAGGGACTGGGGCACCTGAAGAGAGGCGAGAACTCTCTGGGTTCATTTTTTATAAAAATTAAACTTTGTATTTTCAAATAATTATAGATTCACATGCAGTTGTAAGAAATAACAGAGACAGAGCCAGTGCACCCCACATCCGGTTTCCTCCAGTGGTAACATCTTGCAACACTTGGTACAATATCAGAACCAGGATGTTGATGTTGATGCAATTCATCAATGATGGACAGATTTCCCCACTTTTACTCGTACCCATTTGTGTGTGTTGTGTGCAATTTTATCACGTGTGTTTGTGTAGCCGCAGTCACCAGGCAGAACGTTTCCCTCGACACGAGCAGCCCTCGCGCTGCCCTCTAATAACCACGCCGTCTCTTCTTACTTCCCTAACCTCTGACAACCATGAGGTTGTTCTCTATTTTTTTTTAATTTTGTCTTTTCAAGACTGTCACATGAATGGAATCAGACGGGATGGAACCTTTTGGGACTGGCTTTTTTCATTCAGCGTGATGCCCTTGAGATTCACCCAAGTTGGTGCATGTGTCAATAGTTCAGTTTTTTTTATTTCTGAGTAGCATCCCACGGTATGTATGCGCCACAGTTTAGCTATTCAGCCATTGAAGGACATCTAGGTTGTTTCCAGTTTCTGGCTATTATGAATAAAGATACTACAACATTTGTGCACAGGCTTCTGTGTGGGCATAAGTCCTCATTTCTCTGGGATAAATGCCCAAGAAGGCGGTTGCTGGGTCATACAGCAGCACTCTGGGCTCATTGACTTATTTGAACAAATATTTGTTGGGCATCTCTTGCATGCCAAGCACCATCCTTAGTCCCAGGATACAGTAGTGAAGGAGACAAATAAGGTTCCTGCCCTCATGAAATGTGAGAACTATCTGGAGGAGACAGGCTACGAATAAAAACATAAATAAGGAAGACAATTTCAGATTGTGATAAACATTGGTGGAAAATCAGAACAAAGTAGAGAGTAAATGGGAAGTGGGAGCAGCTAATTTAGATTGGGAAGCAGGGACGACTAAGCTGAGGAAGGGGCATTTGAACTGGAAAGTGAATGAAAAGGAGCTTGCCATGCAGGTATCTGGGGAAGGAACCTTCTAGGTGAAAGCAACAGCAGGTGCAAAGGTCCTGGGCAGGACCAGGCATGGCTTACCTCGATAGAGCAGCCCAAGAGGGAGGATCGCTCTATGGCCTTCCTAAGCATCCTCAGCAGGTTCTGAGGGGGCCTCTGGAGTTGGAGGCTCTGGGTCACACCCCCTGTGAAGTCCTCAAAGCCCTCCACCGTGTTGCCCCCTGAAAGTGCTTCATAGGACCCGTTCAACCTGTGGGCACAGAGAGGGCACTGTTTGGGCTCTGGGATGGACGTGTGGGCTTGGACATTGGAGGGTGTGGTGAAGGAAGGGAGGGCTGCCCAGCCGTCCTCCTGCCTCTTCCCCTGACTTCAGCTGCCCCCATAGCTGCCAAGTATCAGGGCAGGCTTGGAGGCAAGCCCAGCTCCTTGGCTCAGGGCACTCACTTGGCATATGCCTTCTCCAGCAGGGCACTCCAGAACTCAGTGCGCTCGGGTGAGTGCACGAACACCAGCTTGCCGTTCTTTGTGGGCAGCCGGTCATCCACCACCACGTCCACCCACTGCCCAAATTGCCAAATCTGTGGGCAGCAAGGTGGACCTCAGCAGGGCATGGGACATCTGTCTGCCCGAGGCCCCCTCCAAGCAAGTCATAAGCAGGCATTTACACATTCACGCGCGCGTGCATACACACACACACTCTCACTCCTTTCACGAGAACTCTGTTACACAAGCGCCTCCTGGTGGCCAGGCTCAGTGACACACTGGTGTCAGAGGGGCCGCTCTCCAGAATGGCTGCAGAGGGAGTGAAAGATGATGAAAAGCCTAGACGCCATCCCCAGCCTCCTCCCCAGGTTCTGCCATGGCCTCGAGGGGGACCCCACCCACCTTTTGACCCTGGCTGAACTTTAGGATTTCTGAGGTCTTATGATTCTCAGAAATGTTGTGATTCTCTTATGATTCTCAGAAACATTTTATGACGTGGGGAATTTGTCCACATGTTGCTAAATTTAAAGAGCAGATTACAAAAATTATGTGACAGAGACTCCCAATGTCATACACACACATATACATATACATATATGTGTGTGTGTGTATCTGCCGAGAGAGAGAGAGAGAGACAGAGAGAGAGAGAGAAAGAGAGAGAGAGAGAGAGAGAGAGAGAGAAGCAGGAAAGCCACCGACGATTTTCTTTTCACGCTTTAAAAAATTAGCTTACACGATTTCTTTAGTGAGCAGATACTTCTCTGATAATGAGGCAAAACCCCACGCTAATGAATGTCATTTTTCAAAAAGAAAAGAAAAAAGATAAATTTCAAAGCACATACTAATTCTTTCCCTCCCTCTCTTCCTCCATCTCTCCCTCCCTCTCTCCCTCCCTCTTTCCTTCTCGCCCTCTCTCTCTCTCACTCTCACACACACACAAACACACACACACACACATATGCCACACAAAGCAACTCTGGCTTTCACATCACCCTTCACCTGAAAATGGAAGATGCCAGCATAGTTTTTCTTGAAGCTCTGCCCCTTGGGTACCACGCGGTTCAGCAGTTTGGGGTATGTGGTAAGGGAGCCAATGGCAGCCAGCAGCCAGCAGTCCCCTGGAAAGACAGGCAGGGGCTGCCCCCTTGAGCACCCCCCATGAGGGTCCCAGAGGAGCAGCAAGCCCTGGAGGAGCAGGAAGCGGCTCTGAGGCCCGCTCCCCAACAGAGATGTACCTCCCTCCCATGAAGGAGTGTGGAGGGAGGAAGCGAGTAGGGAGAAACAGGGCAGAAGAGGCAGGCTCTGGGGGTGAGCGCCCTCCTTTTTCTATTAGGTGAGAGATTCACAGATTGAAGCATTTGCTTTTGTTTCGGGATTTGAGGGGGAGGTACTTTTGGCCTTGGTCTTGCTCCTCACTCTGGCACCCGCTGTCCTTGGGAGAGAGCCACTCGTCTCCCATTTCCTTGAACAAATCCAGTCACCTTCCCTCACAGCCCCCAGCTCTGTGATTATGCTGTGTAGTGATCAAGACGTCTCTCACCCACATAATATTGGAGAACCAAGGGGCTCAGTCTGTACCCCAACTGTGTCCCTGGGGCTAGGCATCGATGGGATACAGGGGTAGTATCCCTGGTCCAAGGTCATCCCTGGCCATCTCTGTCCTGGGATATCACGGACCTCACTGGGTGGGGCCTTGGGGCAGGGGGTACCCTGTGTGAGTACTTGAGGCCTGGCTGAGGCTGAGGGCACTGGGGAAGCTTCTGTGATGACCAACAGCCTCCTGGCTGCCTGGGGTACTCGTTGGGGGAGGCAGAGGGTGGGAAAGGAAGGTTAAGGACACTCCAATCCTCCATCACCAAAAGGGTGCCTAGGGAGAAACCACTTTTCTCCTCTTGCAGCCCAGTGAGCCTGGGCAGCAGAGGTGGGCCTGAGGTCTCCTTGGCCTCTGCCCTGCCCACATCTGCCCTTTGCTCTGCTGCAAATGGGACAGCACTCAGCCCCAGAGGAAGCCCAGCCTGGCCTCAGCCCTAAGGATGCAGTGAGGGGCTTGGAGGAAAGCGTGGGCGAGGGCAGGCTTCGGGAGGAAGCTCTCTCTCGGGGCAGTCCATGGGAGCCTGTGGGGGGCGGGCTGAGGGGCCCAACGCTCCTTTACCTTGTACTCCACACTGAGGAAAGTCTGGCACCTGCAGTGGCTTTAAAATGGGTCCACAAGTTCTTTGACAATCCTCCCCTCAACAGGGGGAGCCTAATTCCCCTCCCCTTGAGTGAGGGCCAGATCTCACCCTTGCCTCTAACGATAAAGTGTGGTGGAGGGTACCGTGTGTTCCCTGAGACCAGCATGGAAGGGGCATCGTGGCTTCCTCTTTCTTCTCACTCTCAGACCACTCTCTCTGGGGCAAACCAGCTCCCGTGCTGTGTGGACGCTCACGTGGGCCTCAGAGAAGCCTACGTGGCGAGGCACTGAGGCCTCCTGCCAGGTGAGCACACCTGGGCAGCCCCGTCTGACGTGTTGACTGCAGCCTCAGGAGAGAGCCTGAGCCAGACCCACGGGGCTGTGCCACTTCCAGATTGCTGCCCCACAGAAACTGAGATGACGGATGTCTGTTGTTGCTTTAAGTCCTTGAGTCTTGGGGTAATTTGCCGTGTAGCAATCAACGACTAGTATACACCCCAGCTTACCCCAGACCCAGACGGCAGAGGGAGGGATGGCATCCGGATTAGGGGAGGCTCTCGCTACCACCTGCTCAGACGGGGAGGCGCAGGGCAGCAGGAGAGGTCGTCTGAACCCGGGGGTCCTAGTTCCCCAGCCTCAAAAGAGACTCTGGCCCTTCCCCCACCTCAGCCCTCTTCCCCAGCTCCCCCCCACCCCCCCCACCCCCCACCCCCCCCCACAGTGGAGACCCACTTTCCTGCTGCCCACTCACCGAGCACCCCCTGACAGATGTCTGTGGGACCGACCCCATCCACGATGAACTGAGGATTGCTCGTAATTTGCTGCAGTGAAGGAACAAAGGTTTCGGGGAGCCCAGGACACCCCCTTCCGACCTCCCTCCCACCTTTCCTGGGGAGTGATGCCCACCTCCAAGTTTTAGGGGAAAAATATGGATCGAGGGAGGGGGGTAGAGGACCAGCTTGGTATAGCGGTAGGTTGTGATAGGCAAAGCTGGTGAGTGACTTTCCCAGGGTTTATCTGGGAGGTTTCACGCTTAAGTGTGTCCAGAGCCATCCCCGGCCCTGGTGGGGGAGGCCAGGGCCAGGGCCAGGATAGGGCGGCGGGGGGATTGGAGATTATCAAGTGATTGGGGGGGACACCACAGCCCCCCCTCCTGAGTCCATGCCTCCCCTCCCAGTGCCCACTGTGGGCCGCTGCCAGCGGATGTTCTGCGCATTTTTGGAGTCGGGGCCCAGGTCCTTGAAGCCCAGCGAACTGTGCTCAGCAGGGAATAAGGGGTCCTCGAACAGCTCCCCCTTCCTCAGGCAGACTGCTCGCAGCTCCTCGAAGATCTGGTTGCTGTAGCTCTGGGCATTGTTGTACCGGCCCACGCCCTTGGCCTTGAGTCGGCTCTGGCTGATGTGAGCTGCCATTCCCTTGGAGAGAACGGCCTCTGCTTAATAAGGAAAAGACAAATGTCTGAAATAAAAAGTGGACAGAGGATCTGAACAGATAGTTTTCTGAAGAAGATATGGGGATGACCAGTAATTGCATGAAAGAGTGCTCAAAACATCATCATTAGTCACCAGATGAGTGCGAGTCAAGGCCACAGTGATATACCACTTCACACCCACTGGGATGGCTATCGTCAAAAAGGCTGATAACGACAAGTGTTGGCGAGAAGGTGGAGAAAGTGGGGTCCTCATACATTGCTGGTGGGAGCGTAACAGGGGGCAGCCACTTTGGAAAACAGTGTGGCAGTTCCCCAAACAGTTAAACATAGAATTACCATGAGAGCCATCAATTCCACCTCTAGGTAAATACTCAAGAGAAATGAAAATATATTTCCATACAAAAACTTGTACACAAATGTTCGTACCAGCGTTATTCACAGTAGCCAAAAAGTGGGGAAAAAACCCCCAAATGTCCATTAGCTGATGTGTGGACAAATAAAATGAGGAATCTCCATACAATGGAATATAATTCAACAATAAAAGGAACGAAATCCTGATCCATGCTACAACACAGATGGATCTTGAAAACATTATGCTAAGTGAAGAAGGCAGTCACGTACTGTGTATTGTATATAAAATGCCCCAAATAGGCCAGTCTCATGGAGACAGGATGTCGATCAGTGGTTGCTTGGGCTTAGGAGGATGGGGGATTTGGAAGTTGATGGCAAAAGGGTGTGGGATTTGTTTTGGAAGATAATGAAAATGTTCCAGAATGGCTTGTGGTGATGGTTGCACAACTCTGTGAATGTACTAGAAGCCACGAATCATACACTTTAAAAGGGTGAATTGTGTGGTGTGTGAATCATATCCCAGCAAAGCTGTTAAAAAAATGACCCCCAGCCCGTGCAGACAGACACTGCCTTTTGGGGAGAGTGGAAATAGTGGTGGGTAGAGAGCTGGAGGGCAGGGAGAAGGGGCCACTCACAGGGAGTCAGTTAGGGAACCAGCTGGCGGGGTGGGGTGGCTGAGGCTCTGAGAGGACAGATCCTGACAGATCCTGAGCCAGCCAGGCAGCTGGGGACCCAGGATGCCCTGCCCATACCTCCTCCCCAAGAGGGACTGCAACTGGCTTACACCCCTTCCTGAGTATTCGCCCACTCACACACATGGGACAGACTCCAGCAGTGGCCGGGAGGCGGGGGCAGGTGGGGGCACAACGGACGACCGGGACGTGGAGGAGGAAGAAGAGATGCCACCACAAAGCCGGATCCACACTGAGTCTGCAGTGCTACCCGCACATGCCCCTGGGGTCGGTCCTCCCTCAATCTCCCCACTTCTCAGCTCCCCACACCATCAGGAAGGATGTGGTCTAAGCTAAACAACTCAGCCGGGGCCTGGGTGTGGGAGGAATCCAGAGAGAGGGAAAGAGGGGCAGCTGCAGAGAGGGGGAGACGCTTCTGGGCTGTCCGGAGACGAGAGCTGCATTGAGCCCGTGGAGGGCTGGGCTCCTCAGAGGCAAGAGCAGAGGGTCTCAGTTACTCTTCCTCCCGTGAGCTGACAAGGAGCAAGGCTGACGGGACTGACGGCCGGCTCTGCGCCAGGCACACGAGCCCTGCGATAGGTCCATGCAATACCCCCAGTAACCAAAGAGGACGACAGCCCAGATGTCAGGGTCACAGGGAGAGGGTTGGGTGTGGGACTAAGTCTGAGTGCAGACCCCAGACTAGGCTGGTGACCTTTTCCCTACACCATGCCCCCTCAGGAGGCACCTCTCCTCAGCGGGAAGGCTTGTCTTCCCATCTTTGTCAATGGAGAGAATCAAAGGCCATTTGTGGCTGCACTTATCTGATGCCCCCTTATCCTGCCCACTACCCCAACCAAGCAAACACATTCTCCGTCCCACATCAGTGTCTTTTTGGGACTTCCCTGGGTCCAGTAACGACCCTTGCTGTCTCCTCTAGTTAACCTGACAAACCCAAACCAGGCTGCCACCACCAGGCCCAGTGCCTTCGCGCTCAGGCTGCCTTCCTTCCTCTGTTGCGTGGGACTCTTCTCGCCTCTGTGCCTCCGCCTGGAATCATTCCTAACACCATGCACACACCTTGTCCCCTGGGAAAAGTCCTGCTAGGCTTTCCAGTCCTTGCTCAGTGCCACCTCCTCAGTAAAGCCTCCCTTGACGTGCCCAGGCTGAGTTTGGGGCCACCCGAGTGTCCAACGCCTCCCTTTGTTATGACACCCATCACGGCCCACCCACTCTGAGTTGGTCTGTCTGTGAGCTCTCAAGGGTGCAGGAGGGGCCCCCATCCACCACTGGGTCCCCTCTGTCTCATACAGCGCCTGGCCCAGCAGGGGCTCAGAAATGCTTTCAGTGAATGAAGGAATGAATGACTTTTTCATAATTTTTCATCTATGTTTGCAAATCCATGCTTTCTCTCTCCTGCCCTGACCCTCAACTCTCTGTCTCACTGTAGTCCCCAATGTCTATAAATTTGTTTCCCTCTCTTTTTTTTCCTCTTTTTTTTTATTTTGATGAAGATTAGCCCTGAGCTAACATCTGCTGCCAATCCTCCTCTTTTTGCTGAGGAAGACTGGCCCTGAGCTAACATCCATGCCCTTCTTCCTCTACTTTATATGTGGGACACCTACCACAGCATGGCTTTTGCCAAGCAGTGCCAAGTCTGTACCCGGGATCCAAACCGGCGGACCCCGGGCCGCCGAGAAGCGGAATGTGCACACTTAACCGCTGCGCCACCAGGCCGGCCCCTGTTTCCCTCTCCTACGAGAAGGAAAGCTCAGGAGGGCGAGGAGCTTTGCTCTCTTTGCTGCTGGATGGAGCGCAGAGCAGGTGCTCACTAATGTTTTGAATGATGTTCCCCGGCAGCTCCTGGAAGGGAGGTCTGTGCGTCTCAGTTTCTCCCATAGGAAGAGGGCCCAATAACGATGCTGTGAAGGAATAGATGGGCCTAGGCTCATCCCTGGGACCCTTCATTCCATTAGAGAAGGCCCACGAGCAGGGTCCACCCCAGAGCAGGTGCCCAGGTGGGAAATGCACCTGGTGCTAATGGTGGGACCTGCAGAGTCCATCCCAGCCCTGCACGGAGGCCATGCTGCGGTGGGGGACCAAAAAGAGCTCTGCTCAGCCCAGGGAAGCTGGGGTGTTGGTGTGGGCAATAAGCAAAATTTCCGGCCACAGCTAAAGGCCCCTCTGGGGTCCCCTTGGGGTCCCTGGGGCCTGGAGTCTCCTGGTTGCCACTAAGAAAAGTTCATTGTCCACAAGGATTAGGATGTTTGCTGAAGAAAGACTTGGGACCCTGCCCTTTGCTTCTTCCACAGAGCCTGTGACAAGAAGATATTAGGAATCCTTCCCCAGTTATAAAAGTAACTAGCACCCTGGGGCTGGCCTGGTGGTGTAGTGGTTAAGTTTGCATGCCTGGCTTCGGCGGCCCAGGGTTCGCGGGTTTGGATCCTGGGCGCGGACGTACACACCGCTCATCAAGCCACGCTGAGGAGGCTTCCCACATAGAACTGGAAGAACTTACAACTAGGGTGTACAACGAGGTACTGGGGCTTTGGGGAGAAAAAAAAAAAGAGGAAGATTAGCAACAGATATTAGCTCAGGGTCAATCTTTCTCACCAAAATAATAATAATAATAATAATAAATAATACAGAAAATAAAATATTGCCTTTTAAAAAAAAGAGAAAGTAACTAGCACTTACATAGCTTTTATAAAAATAATAGTTAACAGTGTTTGATGACTCAGTGCATGCCTGGCACGGTTCTAAACAGTTTGCGTATATTAACACATTGAATCCTCACGACACCCTGTTGGTAAGGTTTACTATCATTGTCGTCCTGCTTCAGAGGGAGAAACCGAGGCACAGAGGGGTTGAACTTCCTCAAGGCTGCCCTCTTGGCAGGCGGCAGAGTCAGAGTTGCACCAGTGCAGGCTGGTCCACACTCCCTGCCTTCACGCTCGCTGCCTTGCTGGGAGGGAGCCTCGGTGGAGGGACAGAGGCCATGCTGGAGAGAAGGATGAGGGGTGCATCCCTTCCTCCATTTTACCCCAGCCTCTGGGTGATCTTTGTTAAGTCACCTCCCCTCAGCTGGGAGGGGGGCTGAGGATGGATAAGGTATGGATAAGGGGTCGGGGAGGCAGCTCATTCCTCTCTAGCAGAGCTAGTGCCCTGGGCTGCACTGAGCCAGAGTGGGTAGCTGTGTGACCCTGGGCAAGTTGCTTTACGTCTCTGAGCCTTGGTTTCCTCTTCTGGGCAAAGAGGCTGCTATATCCTGCCTTGAAGTGTGTTTCAGGATTGAATGATGCAGCATACATGGAAAAGACTGGCGGTCAGTAGGTACACGGAAAACACCGGTTGCCTTCTCCCCACGGACCCGGTTGGTCAACCAGTATTTACTTGGCTCCTACTGGGATCACCTAACCCCATCCTTCCTGGGACCTCATGATCACAGGGACAGCAGCAACACTTCCGCTCAACATACGGGAATCGCCTGTGCTTATCTGTCTCTGCCGCTGGATTTGAGCTCTTAGAGCAAACCGTAGCTCTTCTCACCCGCCCTTGAGTATGGAGTGTTTACCCTGTGTGGACGCCGCCCCCCAGCTCTGACAGACCCTCCCCAGGCAACCCCTCCTCAGGTTCCGCTCTGTGGGCCGCAGAGATAGGGAGACGGCGCCAGGGAAAGAGGCGGCCCAGGTTGGGAGGAGTAGTCAGGGAGGTTCTGAGGGCGGTGACTGCCTGTTCCTGGCTCTCAGCTCAGCCGGCTCCCCAAGGGAGGGTGCCCGTGAGCTCCTGGACCCGGAAGATCAGCCGGGCCGCAGGGAGGAGGGCAGCTGGGGCCGGAATCGCGGAGTCCTCCCCTCTCTCCTCTCCCTTTCCCTCCAGCCCTCTCTGCCAACCCACGCCCTCGGGGCTGCCTAGAAATGGCCGAGAAAGCTCCTTCCACTCCCGCAGACTTGGGGAGAATGAACAAATGGCTGTGTGTGTGTGTGTGTGCACCTGTAGAGTCTGTGTGTGTGTGCAGTCTGTGTGTATGTGTCTGTGGAGTATGTGTGTGTGTGTATCTGTGGAGTGTGTGTGTGTGGAATGTGTGTGCTTGTCTGTGGAGAGTGTGTGCATGTGTGTGTCTGTGGAGTGTGTGTGTGTATATTTGTGGAGTGTGTGTGTGTCTGTGGAGTCTGTGTGTGTGTGTTTGCAGAGTATTTGTGTGTGTGCGCGCGTGTCTGTGGAGTGTGTGTATGTCTGTGGAGTATTTGTGTGTGTGTCTGTGGAGAGTGTGTGTGTGTGACTGTGGAGTGTGTGTGTGTGTTGAGTGTGTGTGTCTAGTATGTGTGTGTGGGTATGTGGAGTGTGTGTGTGTATGGAGTGTGTGTGTGTGTGGAGTGTGTGTGTATGGAGTATATGTGTGTGTGTGTGTGGAGTGTGTGTGCGTGTGTGCTTGGAGTATGTGGGTATGGGTATGTGGAGTATGTGTGTGTGGGTATGTGGAGTATGTGTGGGTGTGTGGAGGGTGTGTGGGGTATGTGGAGTGTATGTGGGTGTGTGGAATGTGTGGGTATGTGTGTGGGTATGTGGAGTATGTGTGGGTATGTGGAGGGTGTGTGGGGTGTGTGTGGAGTGTGTGTGGGTGTGTGGAGTGTGTGGGTATGTGTGTGGGTATGTGGAGTGTGTGTGGGTGTGTGGAGGGTGTGTGGGGTATGTGGAGTGTGTGTGGGTGTGTGGAGTGTGTGGGTATGTGTGTGGGTATGTGGAGTATGTGTGTGTGTGTGTGTGTGTGCAGTGTGTGTGGAGCGTGTACGAGGTGGTGCGAGGTGGAGACCAGGGGCTCCTCTCTTGGCCGCAGGGCCCGGGAAGGTTGTGAAGGGAGCCATGTGCGGAATAAACAGCAGGGCCCGGGATGCAGGGGGTCCAAGAGGAGGGTGAGGACAATCTGCAAGAGGGACGAGAATCAAGGGCTTGTGTTGGTTCACGCCTGGTCCTCACCCAGTGTCGCCAGTAGGGCAGGAGGGACTGTTCCCATTGGACCCAGGTGGAACCCAGGGCCACCCAGAGAAGTGAGGTCAGCGGTTCTCAGCCAAGTGGAAGGGAGGCACTGGTGTCCCCAGGGAACACTTGGCAGTGTCTAGGGACATTTTTGGTTGTCATAGCTGGGGAGTGGGCACCCAGTGAGCAGAGGCCAGGGGTGCTGCCCACATCCTACAGTGCACAGGACAGCCCCCGTGACAAGGGAGTATCCTGTCCCCACATGTCAAGAGTGGCGAGGGTGAGGAAGCTGGGTTAAGTGAATGACCCAAGGGCGCCCGGGTGGTGAGGCGAACCAGCCCGTCCCCTTCCCCTGCGGGGTTGCCCCGGGGAGGCCTGTGCTGGGGCTTCCCCCAGGGGTGAGTGTGCAGAGGTCTCCCGGGGATCCAGAGGGACCGCAGAAGGTGGTGGTGGCCAGGACAACCAGAGAATATCAGAGGGCAGCCAAGGCAATGAAGGTGAATTCTCACCTCTCTCATCTCCCCGGAGCCCTCGGTGCCCCGACCGTGATCACTCAGCCCAAGGAGCCCCTGCTCACTGTCCTCGCTCCAAACCCTGCTCAAGACCCCGCACGCTCAGTCCGCAGGCAGAGCCGGCTGGCAGGGAGGACTTACACACACGCACTCCACCACAGTTATCAACAAACATGTCTCCAGAGAGGGTGAGAGACCCAAGCCCTGTCACACAGGCCAGGGGCTCGGGCAAGCTGGGACAGGCAGACAGACGAGGCTGGCTGTGAGAAGGATAGGCAGATGGCCAGAGCCGTACATTAAAATGAGGCATGAATGGACAGGAAGCTCTCTGTCCCAGGTCCTTACTTTTTCTCCCCCATCAGACTGGGGACCTGTAGATTTATGGACGGCTGAGTTTCCAGAGCTGGTAGGAAACAAAGATGTTGTCTAGACTTCTCAGTTAGGGAACTTCTGAAGAGCCAGCACTGGGTTTGGGGTCCCCTCCTAGGGCTAGGCCTACACTCCCAGGGGTCCAGCAGGTGGTGAGGGCCCGAGAGGCCGGACGCTGGGTCTAGGGTGCCCCTAGAGCAGAAGCCGGCTGCCCTCCTGGACTAGGTGAGGAGCAGGGCTGAGCTCCTCTGCTGGCTGGGGTTGGCTGTGCTCCGACCCCTCACCTCCCACCCCGCAGAACAGCGCAGCTCTGCCTGGCCCCTCCCAGCACCCCAAGTGTTGTCCCCTCCAGGTCCTGAGTTCTGCTCCCTGGCCTGCTATGTAGGCCTGCTCTGGGGGCCTTCTTTCTGGCCTTTCTCTGCTAAGGCGCCTGCCTTTCCAGGCTGGGGAGAGGTTCTCTCTGTTCCCTGAGTTTTATTTCTCGGACAGCCGCTGGGGATCCCCTCTCACGAGCCTTTTCCCAGGCAGCTGTGACACTGGGGTAGCGGGTCCCTCTCCTCTCTCCAACTCCAACCTGTCAGTGGAGACAAGGAGAACAGGCTCCTGCGGGCCTGACCGTCAGCGGCCTGTTCTTTCCCAAGCTGTCTGAGGCAGAGGCCCAGCTTCTGCTCCTAGGGAGCATCCAGTCTGATGGAGGAGTCACCCTCAAGGGCACATGGCCCATTCCCTGGGGGAGGCCCCAGCCTGCAGAGGTACAGGAGTGGGCAAGCCCCATCAGCGCCTACCTGGGGAGTACGGCATGTTGGTGGCCAGCATGGCGCTTGACAGTTGAAGGTTCTGGGGGGAGGGGGAGGAGCATTCCCACCCCCACCCGGAACTCTCCAATTGCAGTGGGACTCCAAGGTCAGCGACAGGTTTTAACAACTGCCTTCCTCTTTCTCCTCCTTCCCACTGACTCCCCAGGCGCGTGCTGTAAGTAACCTAGCCGCTTTCCATCTGCCTGGGCCCCACTTATCCGCCTGGTGGCCATCTCCCCGCGGGGATGGGAGACCCAGCACCCCCACATGGCGGTGCCTCCCCCAGGCTGGCTGTCCTCACTTCATCGTCCAATCAGGACAGGCCAAGTCTGTCTCCTTCAGCCCAAGGCTTCTGGGAAGGGCCTGCCCTGATACCCCAACCTGACCTTTTCATCCTCAGAGCTACTACCTCATTGCCAAAAGTCCCTTTCCCACTGACATGGCAGTCTCCTTCTACGTCCTCATGTGGCATTTTCTGTGTCTCTCTCCTCTTCTTATCAAGACATCAGTTGTATCGGATTAGGGGCCTACCCTATTCCAGCATGACCTCATCTTAACTAATTACTTCTGCAAGGACCCTTTTTCCAAATAAGGTCACATGTCGAGGTACTGGGGTTAGACCTCAACATATCTTTTTGGGGGACACAATTCAACCCATAACACTCTCCTTGGCATGGTTAGGCCAGTGGCCTGTCATGCCTTTCCAGGGGAAAGAGTGAAATCTTTGGCCTGGGAAGTCTGCCCGATAGAATGGTCTTCCCCAGAGTGTACACCTATTGAGGACAGGGACTGTCGGGGTCATCCTGGTGGCCCTCAGCCCTGCCTGGAGGAGCAGCAGGTACAGAGCAGATGCTCAGGCGGCTGAATGGAATCACAGAGCCTCGTTCCAGGCTCCCACACTAACTGACCTTGGGCAAGTCCTCCTCATCCCACTTTCTGGGTCTCAATTTCCTCATCTACGGGAATATTAATTACAGTTCATTAAGTTCTTATTATGTGCCAAGCACTGGGCAAGAATTTTCCACTTATTTAATCCTTAAAACAGCTCAAGGATGTGGTGTCCTTATTCCCATCTTACAGATGAAGAAAGTGAGGTCCAGAGGTGACATAATGAGAAATATATATTTGGTCTCTGCCCCTGGTTCCTGACATAGAGCTCCTAAATCTTTTGGAATTTCCTGGGTGATTGGAGTGTCTTTTGTTCTAATGAGGTGACTCTTGGTGGGCTCCCTGGACAGCCTCAGGATGGGAGCTGGTCACCGGAAAGACCAAGCTATGATTAAAAGCTTGGAACTTTCAGGGCTGGCCCTGTGGTCTAGTGGTTAAGTTTGGCATGCTCTGCCTCAGCAGCCCAGGTTTGCTTCCCAGGTGCGGACCTACACCACTTGTTGGCAGCCGTGCTGTGGTGGTGACCCACATACAAAACAGAGGAAGATTGGCATAGATGTTAGCTCAGGGCAAATCTTCCTCATCAAAAAAAAAGAAAGAAAGGAAAGAAAAGCTTGGAACTTTCAACCCCACCGCTCATCCTCCAGGGAGGGGGAGGGGCTGGAGATTGAGTTAATAATCAGTCATGCCTATGTGATGAAGCCTCTGTAAAAACCCCTAAAATGTGGGGTACAGAGAGCTTCTGGGTTGGTGAACACATCCTTGTGCCAGGATAGGTGGCACACCACAACTCCACAGGGATGGAAGCTCTGTGGTCCCTTCTGGACCTCGCCCTGTGTACTTCTTCATCTGGCTGTTCAGCTGTATCCTTTATTGTATCCTTTTATAATAAACCAGTAAATGTAAATGAGTGTTCTCCTGAGTTCTGTGAGTCGTCATAGCAAATTATCAAACCTGAGGAGGGGCTGTGGGAACCCTCACTTATAGCTCTTTGGTCAGAAGTGCAGGTCACAACCAGGAGCTTGCGATCTGAAGTGTGCATCTGAGCCCTGAGCCTGTGGGATCTGACGCTAACTCCAGGTTAGCGTCAGAACTGGATGGAATTGTAGGACACACATCCAGCTGGTGTCTGGAGAGTTAGAGAATCGGTTGGTGGAGGAAATGCATCCACACATTTGGTGTTAGAAGAACTTTGTGTGTAAAGGAAAACAGGAGTTTTTATTTTTTCTTCTTTTTTTCTTTTTTGCTGAGGAAGATTGGCCTTCAGCTAACATCTGTTGCCAATCCTCCTCTTTTAACTTGAGGAAGATTGTGGCTGAGCTAACATCTGTGCCAGTCTTCCTCTGTTTTGTATATGGGATGCTGCCACAGCATGGCTTGATGAGTGGCATGTAGGTCTCACACCCAGGATCCAAACCTGCAAACCCTGGGCCACTGAATAGGAGCACACAAAGAACTTAACCACTATGCCACTGGGCCGGCTCCAGGAGCTTTCCTTTTGGAGAGGAATGATACAACTTGCCCAAGGTCACACAGCTGGTAAGTGGCTGAGCCGGCATTTGAACCTAAAGCCTCAGCTCTTATCCGTTATGTTCTGCTGGCCCCAGCTGTCAGGAGAGGAGGTGAAGTGGACTTTGGGGCTCCCTGTGGCCTCCTTGCCCACATCCGTGACTCCATTATCACACCTCTTGGCTCCTTTGCAGCACCAGCACAGAGCTGGGCACTCCATCCCAGCTCACAAAATGTTTGTCAGATGCCTGGGTTGTAATTCCCCCTCCCGGCCTGGGCTCTGCCTGGGAAGGGGAGCCAGGGCAGGGAGAGGGTGGGCACAGGCGTCCTCTATTACAGCCTCCCACCCTGGGCCCGGGCTTTTCCGGGGACCTTTGCTCTGTCTGCTGTTTGGGCATTGCCTGGAATTTCACATCTGGAAACACTCAAACCTGGCTTTGAGCTTCAGGTCCTTCCAGAAGCCCCTATAAGGTGGAGTTGGGAGACCCCTCCTCTGAGGGAAGCAGAGGCATGCCGGGCAGGTGAGGAACCCAGGGGTCTAGGCTGACCAGAGCCTCAGGCTGAGGTCTGTCAAGGCCACACTGTGCAGACAATGGGGTTGCCAGGCAAACGACGCTGGTGAGTCTGCCCATCCTTATAGGAAACAGGCTCAGGTATGCTAAGGGGCCTTCATGAGGCAAGGAGCTGTTTCAAAACCTGTCTGGTTCTTTCCATCCTCCTCTTATGTTCTGAAGAAATGATCTAGAGCCTATGGGACCTTGAGGCTGACCGTGGGCCCCCCACCCCCACACCTGTCCCTGGTTGCCTCAGCCCTCACAGACCATGCCAGCCAGTCCTTACGTGGGACCCCCACCCCCTCCTCATCCATTCCCTGCCCCTCGCCCCAGTTTCTCAGCCTCACCTGGTCTTCTGGACTTCTCTATCTGACCTGATGAGAGGTCACCTCACTGCCCTTTCCTCATTCCCAGACTCAGAGCAGGTGGTGGGGGCATTTCTGGTTTAACCCCATGACTCTGGGGCAGGTGTCTGGTACCACGCTGGCCATTTTGGCCTTAATAATTGTGGATCCTTGTCACTCCTCTTTGGATGTCAACTTTCTCAGCTGAGCAGTAAAAGTTTAAATGAGGCAAGATGTCCCGCCTTTGGGCTGCCACAGCATCCTAAGATTTTTCACCCTTGTCCTGGCTCCACTGCAGATGAGTTGTCTCAGCTGGGACAAGGGCCCTCACCGCTGTGTGCCTCGGCTCCTCGTCTGTACATTTGGGACAGGGCTCCTCCGAGGACTCAGTCAGTTCATAGAAAGTGCTGAGAACAGTGCTGGACCCAGGGAGTGCTCGGGTCTCTGTCTGGCTTGCCCACTGGGCCCTGGGTGCCTTGGAGGCAGCCTTGCTGCTCACGGTGTCCGCGGGGCCCCGCGCAGAGCCCGACACACAGGCGTTCAGGAGGGTCTGATGAAGTGATGAGGGTGAGACAGCTGTTGGCAGCCTCACGGGCCCACTGTGCATGCTCTCTGCTGGAAACTCAGCCGATTTCCACGCACCCACTGGCTGGCACTCTGCTCCCTTACCCTCGGCCTGGCAGCTCCTCCAGCCCTGGACTTTGGGGACCCCACCTGGGAGTCTAGATTTCACAAGACTGCAGATCTGACAGCCATGTGAAGGCTGAGTCCGGACTGAGGCCCTGGCCTTCATCTCCACTGTGTTTGTGCAGGCCACCAGGAAACCCTGGCCCTCCAAGCCGTGTTTGTCTTGCGGGTGGCATCTCTCCACAGCCTGGGGCTGGACCCAGGCACTGTTGGCCTTCCGCCCCTTGCCAGAGCTCCGGCAAGCTGTCTCCGGCTAGCTGTCTCCGGCTTTCAGCTGCGTGAGCCATCTCTGCTGTTTGTTTCTTGTTGAGTCTGCAGGCCTTTGTGGGACCTACTTCTTCTCTTCCTTCTCTCCTGAGATCTCTTCTCCCCTCTGGGAGTTGCTTGCCTCACCTTCTTGTTTTCTGGGCCCTTGCGGTGGGTGGCGGATGGGCAGGACATGCTCCAGACTGTTAGGGGTCACCTGGTTGTGCTCCCTGATTTTACTAATGAGGAAACAGGTCCAGAGATGAGAGGTGGTTTTCCCAGGGTTGCACAGCGAGTTAGTGAGAGAACCAGAACTGGAGTCCAGGTCTCCTGGCTCTGGTTGTGCACGCAGTATGTACTGTGTGTGATGCACGGCTCTGTGCGCCTCTGGAGGGTGAGCAAGAGTGGTCACAGGAAATTTCTCAGAAAAGGTGAATTTGAGTTGGGTCTTAGAGGACGGATAAGATGCTTTTGACGGGAGGGCGCTTTTCAGGGAGGGGCTCCTGGGGAATGGACAGATGGGCTGGAGCCAGCTCACTGAGGACCTTTCTGAGATCCCTCCCAGGCCGGTAACCTTGGGCAAACTCCATACCCTCTCTGGGCCTGTGTCCTCACTCATCAAAAGAGGAAAACCACAACTGCTTTGTAGGTCCTGTTAATGATCACCGAATTAATTACAGTTGACGTTTATTGGGTGTTTACCATGTACCAGGCGCTGGGCCAAGTGAGCACTTGACACACATTATCTCATGTAATCCTCGCAGTAAGCCCACGCCTGACCTCAGAGCAAGCTCTCTGAGGAGTCAGCGCTTCAAAGCACGGCAGTCACTTAGCATAATCCAGGTACATAATAACCACTCAGTAAGTCGTAGCAACGATGAC